GAAATCGTCTCGAAGCTTGCCTTTCTTTACTATCACGACATAAGGGCGAACCATTTTTATATCGTATTATTACATAGTATGATGAAAAATGGATTCTTTTCGACAATCGCAAGTGTTCGGCACAATGGTTGAATATAGATGAAGTCCGAAACCGAATATTGACAAAAAAAAAACTAATGGTGTCTGTTTGGTGGTCCACCTGCGCTGATATTGTCTACTACAGCTTCATGAAACCTAGTCAATCGATTACAGCGGATGTCTACTGTAACCAACTGGACGAAATGATGAGAATGCTTGCGATCAAGCAGCCGAGATTGGTCAATAGAGACAGACCAATCCTCTTGCAAGACAACGCTCGACCACATCGCATAAACAACGTTGCTCAAACTACGACAGCAGGACTTGGAAACTCTCTGTCACCCACCATATTCACCAGACCTTGCACCAACTGACTTCTTCCAGGCACTGGGCCACCTCTTGCAAGGAAAAATATTCAATTCTCAACATGCTGTAGAAAACGCGATTTCATCGTCACTCGCACTTCAGGTTTCTTCGCTGCTGGCATGAATAAACAAACTACCGTTCAGATGGCAGAACTGTGTCGATACTTTAGGCGCATACTTTGATTAATTTTACTCTATTTCTGGTTTGAGATATAATAAACCAAACTTTTGATTCGAAATCGAACATTTCATATTTAATGACCCAATAACAAGCAATTCCAAGCGCTGTCAATAATTTCGAGTGCCATATCTCGGTCGCGCGAACTTCTGACGACGATGTTGAGTGCTCGATAAGCGGAGGGGTTGCTCGTCTTCGCGGTTGTACGTCGGCCACGCAAACGCGACTCGATGGGGCGTGCGAGCTGCACGTAACAATGGAAGAAGGCGGGGGGAGGAAGATGCTTATAGTCGCTATTTGTTAGCAAACTTATGTAGACGGGCAATTATAGGGGCGTATGTAGCAGCGACGGTGCCCTGGCGTGAGCGCAACGGAGATACATAAATCTCTTTCGAGATTCCTTTCAATTCTCGAGCGCGGCGTTTTTTCCTGAAACATCTCGCGTATTACGGCTATTACGTCATATGTATCCAAACTGAGATGTTATTGACGAGTTTTACGTACTAGTCGCGCGACACGGCGATTGCGATCCGCGCACACGCACACGGATGCACGTACACGTGTGCCAGGGTCCGCATTGAATCTGCCACTATTTATCATACACGCACACATAAAGAGAAAGAGAGAGAGAGAGAGAGAGAGAGAGAGAGAGGGGGAGAGAGAGAGAAAAAGAGACAATGACATCGACAAACGAGCTTGCGCAAATACATTCCGAAGGTAATTAAATCGCGTTCTGATGGAGACTAATGAACTTTTCATGAGAAATTACTTAAATTATTGTCAGTCGGGCTCGCAAGTTCGATATATTTGGCGCCGGTCCCGCGCGATATTCTATTTCGACGAGTAATAATCGCCATCACTCGCGGGCGTCATCGATATGGTACACGTCGCGCGTTCGCGCGTCCGAAGCGCATCGAGAAGCATTTTTAACCCTCTCACATTGTTCAAGATGCTTCTTCATCATATTTCTGTCTTCGTTTCTTCGTTTGTTAATACGAGCTGCAGCCGTCTCTTTCAGCATAAGAATGTTTATAACAATAGCGTTAATCATAATTATGACACAAGGCAATAGGTTTTGAATTACTCTGGGATATATGGTATATCCACGGCAGTCGGAGGATTAAGGAGCGATTTGCACGTACGATTAACAGCGTACACAAGAAATAATAATCCGCAGGAAGCAAAAGAAGAAACGGCTAATTTTGCCACAGCGATATCGAAATTATCGAGAAACACGAGCGACCGCCGCGGCGGTATAAAACATAATTGCGCGTTCGTATGTGTGCATTTTCCGCAAGCAATTAGATACAGTCATTTGCGCATAACGAATGAGAACACAAAGGAAGTTACGTCGCGTCGGGGACGTCGCAATCGACGGTTCGAAATTAAAAAAAGGGGGAAAGGAGCCGAGCTTGTTAACGGTCGGCGCAACGGTTCCGTTCGGCGCACAACGAGCCATTGAATAATAACTATCTCGTCGACTGGTTACGCAAGTAACAGCGCGAGTTGGAAGAGAGAAGCTAGACCACGCCGTGTCTCCCACCAGGACTTCGGCGGCTTCTACGTACCTACAAGTTTCCAGCACTCCGCAGGGACGTCTCTTCTAAAACTCTCCCGTCTTCCATCAGTACCGATGTACTACGATACTTGTAACTCGATTGGGAGCCCCACGTGGTTCGCGCGACGGAGTTACGTTTACCTAGCTGAAGTAATTTTTTTTCTCCAGCCGGCGCAGCTCGAGAGTGCGCGGAGCGTTCGTAAGGGTGTTTTCTCGCGCAAATCGAATGAAACAATTATGGGAGTAGCGGCAAATTTTGACGTGCGGGAAGTCGCGAGTGGGAAAGAGGCTGATCGACCGATAAACAGAGGCGAGAGAAGGCTACGGCTCAGCTTCGAAATTTGCGCGCATTTCTTTGCACCGCTCCTGCGGTATTGAAAACTGCGAGAATCCGAATGACCCGAGGAGGCGGAATCTTGTCGTATTCGCGGCTTCGAAGCGGATTCAAGAAGTCGGATCTCGCCTTGATGTATTATTTAATGCCCTTCCTCGTCTCCTTTTCTTTGTTTTTCTTTTCTCTTTTTTTTTTTCGCCGAATAACGCGTTCCCGTGTTCGATCAGGAACGACGCAACGTGAATAAAACATCTCGTCTAAATTTCACAACTTTCGGAGTTGCCGACACAAAGCGAAAACTCGAAAGTGTACACTTGTAACTGGTTCAAAACCCTTCATATCGGTTCCCGATAGAATTGCGTTAACATCGGCCGCTGGAAGTTTTATCTCCGAGCCGAATACTTGAAATGATATTACGGTACAATACGATGCGATGTGAGAGAAGGAATGGTTCACAACTGCTGTATGAGAGATATACTCTCGTGTGACCATATAACACACACACACATTATATCGTGTAAGGAATCATCCCGTGATACGAATCGCGGAGATAAAAATTGTGACCAAGGTCGAAGGGTAAAATTACCTTTTCCAACGTACGTATCCTTTCGGCAATGCTTTCTCGTGCGACGTGCGTTAACGCGGATATTCTTACGAAAAAAAATATTTAACATATTTAACTGGCACACAGAGGTGCCAACGATGAGACTTTACTCATCCAATGCGCGATACGCGGCACACGTGTTTTATAAAGAGTCGTGGCCCGTTGTTTCTTTCCGAAGCTCGTGATTGATTTGCGGAGAATTATTTCCCGTCGTAAATCCCGAGAGTAAATAAACATAAATCTCGCGTCTCGCGTCGCTCCTATCCCGTTTTCCGTTCTCTGGGCTTTCTTAATATTCGCGCTTTCGGCCCGACCACGCGGATTACGTAAATGAAATATTCAGGACGTCGCAGTTACACGTTCCTTGCCCTTGTCGCGCTTGAAAAGGGAACGACAATAAAGAATGAAGCTCGTTTCTGGGCTGGCGGTCTGGTCCCGCGGGTTAGGCCGCAGGATCGAGAGAGAGGGAGAGAGAGAAAAAAGAACCGAGAGAAAGATGGAAAGGAAAAGAGAGAAAAGACGAGGAGGGAAGAAACGCGAAATATTTCTCGGAATCCTGCTCCGTCTGAAAATCTCAGTACGAGTACAATCGGCGGTTGTTCTTAGGTTCTTGCCGCGGCACCGGGATTTCAACCGGCACGAAAATTCAAGTCGAGAGAGAAAAGGCGCGAATTATTAAAGTTCGCGAGTCTGCGGAGAAAAGGAGCAAAGTGTAATAAAATTTTTCTCATATCGCGACGGGATGGACCAATCGACTATCGGCGCGGTTTGCGCGCGAGATTTTGCTAATTTCGACAAAATACCCTGTCGATAGCACGATGAAAGAAAAGAAAAAAAAAGAAAAAAAAGGAAAAAAGAGGGAGACAGCTAAACGCTTGGATCAATACCTGACACTTCTCTCCAGCGCGTTGTCTTCAAAATCAAAGTTGTTCCTCAACGCCAAAAAGACGCGAGAATTAATTCCGAATATCGGCGGCTTGATAAGAGCATTCTCGCGGGTTCGAGGTATCAAGATAACGTCACTGACCGTGCTGGCGGACGGACAATGGCGGCAACAACAATTCGTTAATTAAATCAGACGGCGGGAGAAACAAAGGGAGAAAAAATCCTGTGCTCTCTTCCAAACCGATAGGCCGATGAGATAGGCCGGAGTATATACTCGAGCTTTTTTCTTCTCGTCGGTAATTGGTATGAAAAATTACGAGCGCAAGAAGAATAAGAGAAAAGAAAATGGGGGGGAAAAAAGGAAGAACGCAAATTGGTGGGATTGAAAGGTGCACTATACCGCTCTTAATTACTGGGCTTGCACTATCGGCGAACTCAGTCTCGCGTTATGAGGTGGTTTCACGGAAACTAACGACGAATGTACTTGGCCGACTTTCTTTGTTCTTTCTCGCGAGATGTTCGTTCGTGCGAGCGGAGTGAGCTATATTTTACATAAATTTCGGAGCTCTCGGGGGGCGATCTCGTGCGGGGGGGGGGAGGCAGAGTTGAAAAGAGTTTTCAATGTTTGGGAACGCCGGAGCGCGGTATATACGCGGTGCGTACTTGTCCGGTTTCAATATCTCAAAAACACTCCGCTCTCCGAGCATCGTCTGCTGCGAATCGTGACTCCTCCTCACACTCCTCTTTATCGCGATAAAAAAATATTTTCAGACATATATAATTTATAAAGATACAATGTGACCGCACGAAATAGAATTCTCTGCTTTCGCGGGAGAAAGAAAATGAGAGGATGAGAAAGAGACGAGAATATGCCACGTGCCAATATGTTACTTGCCGGCATTAAATCGTTAGCCGCGGCATGAGGCGCAGCGAGGGGGAGGGGGAGGGCGAGGTTCACGATTCACAGACAATTTATATGTCATTCACAATTTACGTACCTTCGGAGTCCGAGGTGTCCGACAACGGGGGCTCATTGGCGATGTACTGGCGGCCGCTCAGCAAATTGTTCTCCACGACCGGCCGTTTGTCCTCCAGCTGCCTCCTGAAGCCACGATGGTCGTCCTGCGAAGGAGACGCGTAAATCGTGAAACAAAAGTAAAGGCAAGGGGAAGAGAAGGGGCCGCGAGGGGCCCATCTCGGTGTCTGGGGCAGTGCCAGGTTTACTCTTGGCGTTCGACGCCCCTCGTCGAGAAGGCAAGAGGCTTTAAGAGATCACGCCCGACTAAATTCGCCCGTCTACTGTGACAAGTAGAGTAGCTCGCGAACGTAAACAACGTCGCGTGTGCAATCGACGACGCAGTCGATTTGGAAACCGTGTCATATAAAGCTAATTTAAAAATAGCGCATAAAAGTCGGGGCTGTTTATAAAAATCGGGAGATACCTTCTCTCTCTCTCTCTCTCTCTCTCTCTCTCTCTCTCTCTCTCTCTCTCTCTCTCTCTCTCTCTCTCTCTCTCTCTCTCTCTCTCTCTCTCTCTCTCTCTCTCTCTCTTTCTGCGTCAATTTTTACATTTTATAGGCTATCAGCTGTAAAGCTTTTACAACTGATAACCTATAAAAATCGACGTATCTCCATGTGAATTTTAAAACACAGCTTCATCATTATTAATGTTACACTACAGACAAGGTGTTACGAATGGTTTCGCTAAGAATATATTCCAACAAGAGATAATGCTAATAAAAGTATCGCTTCTCGGCGAACATACAGGATCATTCAGGAAAGATCCGTGATTTCCGAGTGGCAAAAGCGCAACTTTGTCGCGCATTCGGGGGACACGAATTATTCATTAATCAAGCAATCGTCGCGGTCGATCTGCGACTCGTCGCCACGATGTATCGACACGGCAGGCTTTTATCAACCTTCTCGGCTGATCCGTATCGCGTTTGTCGCGACATCGTCTATGAGACGACCGAAGTGAAACGTTTGACTGGTTCGATGCGCAGCGAAATTAAATTAACTCGAGGGGCGAGACGACGAAGAAGAACGCACACGCCGGCTTCTTCAATCTTCGGGCGCAATAACGAGACACTACGATGTATAAAAGCGAGCTCGGAGCTCGGCGAAAGATCGCATTTACAGGGCATGCTCGCGGATGCCATCGGACGTCGGCGTGTGCATCCGTAATTGCGTTTGACGAAGCGTTACACCGCCGGGGGTTAGGAGGGTGGGAGAGAGGCGGGGTCGGGGAGGAGGGCGGGTTGAAAACTAGCCCGCTGCAGCCGGCGAGGAAAAGTCGAGTGGATAAAAAGGCACTCTTACGATATTGCATGCCTTCTAGTTAACGAGATTATCTCTTCGTTCGCGGGCTCGAGGGTTCGCTGCGGGAAAGACGCCGCGGGCTTTTTTCTACGCGTCGAGAGACGTCCGGATGGCGGCGTGTTCGCCTAGTTTGTGTCTTTCCTCTTTCTGTCTCTCGCGTCTTCCTCTTCCTTTTTTCTTCCTCCGCTCTTCTCCATTTTTTCTCCTTCTTCTTCTTCTTCTTCTTCTTCTTCTTCTCCTTTTCCTCCTCCTCCTCTTCCTTTTTCTGCTTCTTCTTTTTCTTTCTTTCCCTCGCCCCCTCATTTTTTTTCAGACTGCTCTGAGAAGAGAATTCATCGCGAGCGGAACGCGAATATGCCCGTAGAGAAACGGAGCTGGAGAAGGAAGGGAAAGACCGCTCTTAACTGTCGGCCGACTGAAGGATTTGAAGAGATCGCGCTGCGACGGGGTCACGAACGTCAAGCAAAAGTACAGCAATTTTCTCGGTTACACGCGGAACGGATTAAGAAGGACGTCGCGCGTAATTCTTTTTTTCCATCCCGTTCTCGATGCCGATTCGCGCAATTTTCTCTCTCCAATGTTTCACCTCGCGCGAGCCCCGCGGTGGTTGCTGTTCTGTCATCGTCTGTCGATTTCTCTACAGGAGCGACGTCACACATCCCCGCGGAGTCACACCATATGCTCTTGCAAGCGGGAGGGCGGCGGCGGATGCGACACGGGAGGATCGGGGAAAAGTGAGAAACGGCGCACGTATATATACACACACACACATACACACAATGCCGCTGTGAACAAGCAAAAGCGTATGTTACGCCGGACCGCACTCGATTTAACAATCACACGTTTATTAATTCGCATTACGTCCGGGCGCGACGTATAAAGAGCCATCATGATTTAAACGGCCATTTATCGCCACTTGTTTAGCAGTAATCGGAAATTTATGTGGAGAATCGTCGAGAGAATTCAACCTGCCAGAAAGTAAATTGACGCGGCGCATTAAATCTATTGTTAAATAAATTGGCTCAATTGTGCGCCACGGAACAGATCTCGGCGATGTACCGGCTATTAATCATTCTTGCATCTTTCTTCGTTGCTTTTTCTGGCCGCTTCTCATTACGAAGAATGATGGCGCGGCGCGGTGTGAGTGATAGAATCCTCATCGCGTTTATCCTTGATTTCTTCTTCCCCCTCCTCCTCCTTCTTCTTCTGTCTCTCGCGCTGTCTCTCACACATACACACGCACACACATACACACAATTCTCGCTGCACAGATTTCTCTTCGAGGACTCTCTTCGCTTCGCCTCGAAAAGAACGGATCGCCCGTGAATTGCGTTTGCCGTGCGATCGCGGATCGAAACTCCTCATCGGTAAACAAATCACGAACGGATTAAAGCGCGCCGAATAATCCGCCTGTGCACTCGTCGCGCACTTCGTATGGAAATTTACGCGCGCGGCGATTAGTCGCGCGTTCCGGGGTTAATGAAGAAATTAGAACGGCCAAAGAGCCATTCATCCAATTAGATCGCCATCAAGACGGTCCCTTATCAATGAGGTTATCATAACGAGAGAAGGGAGGGAGAGAGACAGAGAGAGAGAGAGAGAGAGAGGGAGAGAGAGAGAGGTTAATTGCGAGGTGCGCGCGCGGCAACAATGCGTTGATGCGTATCTCGATTATATACGAGCATCCGACACTGGGAATCTTCAGCGTTTAACCGCTGTCACTGCTCGGCCGCGCTATTATCGCGCCAGGTAGATAAATTGGCCGAAAACAATTTCATTGCACAACTCTGCCGGCGCGGTGGGTGAGAGAGAGAGAGAGAAAGAGAGGGGGGGGAACTTTCGCTCGGTCCTTTGCGCGCTTTTGCGCGACGCGGCGAAGCGAGAGCGAAGGGGCAAAAACACCGACGCATCCGGTGCGACGCAACCCTCCTCTTATATCATCAAGTCGGTGAGGGGGAGAGAGGGGGGGGGAAGATTTCAACGCTGACCGCTCGCGAGCAGCCGAGATCGCGGAGTCGCGCGCTCATTAATACTCCGGAGCAATTTCTTCCTGATGGGCGAGCTGTTATCCTTTATTTACGCGCGCCATCCACGCAGGCGAATCCCGTAGCAGCAATCGATGCTATTAACCGTCGAGCTAACGTTAAATGTTTCACGAGCTGCGAATGCCGCGACGGAGCTCCCGGAATAAACACTGAGCGCGACATCGCGCGGAAAGGCGTGTCCGGGTCCGAAAGAAACACACCGACATCAATTCCGCGGGGATTGACACTCGCCGCGCCAAAGTGCCTCCTCCGAAATAACCCCCGACGACGAGACCTCGCGCGGCATGACCGGGGCGAAAATATCAATCGTTCGCGCGGCAGGTGCACCGCCGCCGTCGCCGTCGTCGTCGAGGAAACGATGGGCGCGTGCCATTAAAAAATGCACGAGCGCGGGATTCATCGGTATCGCGAATCGATGCAGCCATCGGCGGCAACGTCGGCGGCGTTTTTGATTTATCCGCGCGTGTCCTGGCTGCGTGCACGCGAAACGCAGACCGCAGCGGCTCGTTCGTCGTAAACGACCCTCCTGGTCGTCGGCGGTGCGAGTTTACAGGCGCGAGTTCGCGCGCGACGCTCACGGGCGAATGGAACTTTTAGGAAGAGGGCCGTGAGAGGGATGACGATCGCGATCGTTATATCGCTGCAACGGTGTGCCTCGCGACTAATTGCGCGCGCGAGCGGCTTTTATTCTGATTGCGCGGACGCGATGAACGGCCTTCTAATTGCGCTCGCGCGTGCGGATGCGGCGACCCGATGCGCGTTACACGCTTCGCGATCGTTGCGCGCCAAAGTAGCCCTGTGTGTTTTATTAGGCCACGGCTGAAACTTGCCTTCGTAACTGTGCGCGTAATCGTATATATAGAACGCGGCTGACGTGATTGGAATTTAGTCAATGGCTTCGCGTCGTACGCAAGAATGCGCGTGACTTTATCCGCTCGGCGAGGATGCGCGTGAACAATGTTAGGCGTTGTCTCGTCAAATATTCCGTAATGATAACAATCTGTCGGACATGTCCGGCGAGCTAAACTAGTAGCGAGTAAGTTTGTATTTGTTGAATAGGTGCGCGAGCTCGTGGGCGTGAGGGAGCGCCGAGGGAGCGGAGGGAACGAAAGCACGGAGGTATGAACCGGCGTAATTTAATTAACTGCAATTTTCTTTACAGTTTCGCGTTTAATGCAAGCAACAATGCGCGGCTCTGTTTGTACCTGCGAGGATGCCCGCGAACAATTTTCAATATTATCTTGCAAAATATTCCCTCATGATAACGATTCGCCTGTGATATCTCTGATAAAACGAACCAGTGAGTGTGCGAGTGTTGCGTACATGTGAGGAACGAAGGAGACAAAAGAAGGCACGAAGGCACGCGAGAACGTACATACAGACGTGTAAGAGTACGAACGAATAAAAGCACAAAGATACGAATGTATGGCAGTATCCGAGTGCACTTGACCCGAGACGCTGTTTAATTATTAGCCAATGCCGCACACGTCGCATTCACCCACCCCTCGCTTCATTGGTTGCCCGCAATTGGTTTAATCTCGGAGTTCCTTTGAAGTAATATCATCTGCGGCGAGAGGGTGGCTTATATCACGAGAAGCACTTACGTGAGCTCTAATGAACGCTATATTCGATCTGTTCTACTTATACTAAAGCTTCTACTTATTAAAATAATTCTCGGTAGCGGCGACTCCTCGAATGTCGGCGATGCGAGTTGTCTTCGAGCGCGATTACTTATTACTATTATTATTATTATTGTTATTATTATTATTATTACCTCCGCGACTCGTTCACCGATAAGGCAGCTCTATCACCCAGTAAGGACGCAGTTTAATTAAGCAAAAGACGTAAGTATAGACCGAACGGGTTTATTGATAACGAGCGCGACGAGCGGTTGATGACTGCCCGAGAAGGATACCCCCGTGCCTTCGAACGCTAATGGAAATTAATAAGGTGTAAGAGTAACGTATAGAATGTATGAATAACATGGGAGCGAGTCCCTATAGACGTGACCTTCCTTCTTTTGTTTATTTGCCTTATGCATACACATTAAGAGCCGATTGAATAGACGAGCAGTTCGAGGTAGTAAACACAAAAGAACAATAGATAGCATAACGATAATATAATTCAGACGCCGGTGGAGGTCGAGCGGGATACGGAGACGCACCGAATGCCAGAACACCTTCGAGTCAGGCTTTCGCGCAATTACTTCGCGCGATAATTGATTAAAAATGGCGGTTCGAATGGATATGCGCATATTCGAACCGCTGGCGGGCAGTCGGAGATCTTCAAGAAAAAGCGTACGAGATGTCCTTCTCAGCTGCTGGCTCAGATCACTTAGGTCATACCGCGCCCCCCTCCCCCTCCCCCCGGGGAAAACGCACGGCGAGCCCGGTCTGCTGACCAAGAAAACATCTGAATCGGACCGGTGTCGAAGGGGAAACGCACGACGACACCGGTATTCGGAATTAAGAGAAATTAACTAATTGTGTAAGGGAACAATGCTCGACTCCGATCACCCGATGAACATTAGAAAACAATGATTTGATTAACACTCACCAATCTTCCGCACGAGTGGCGATGGCACGTCTCTTTCGGGCGTCCAACAGCGACTAACTGCCTACCTCTACCGCGACATCGTTTTTATAATCCGCGTCTCTTCGAAACGTAAACACATCGTTTTCCCCACCATTGACTTCACTGTGATTGTTATTGTTTTTCAACGCTCCGAATGCCCATTTCGGATTTTCATATGCAATACTCACACCACTCGTACGATATGAATGGTTAGGTATTAGAAGCAAGAATAAATTCAATATTTTTATTACAATTGTGTGCTCTTCTTCAAAGGTATACACACAACAACAGATCGACATTCTTTAGAAAAGGAAGAAAGAAAAAGGGGCGAACTAAGCAAAGAAAAAGAAAAAGAAAATAAAGAATATTTTCACAAAGGTGTAATTTATATCGTCCGAGGGCTCCAGATTTTCGATCATGTGCGGATGTACACGGGGGGGGGGGATGCGAAGAGGAACGCAATGAGGTGGTCTCATGGACGTGTTTAGAATATTCGCGAGATTATTTAGAAAAACGATGCGTATGCATGAAAGTACGGGTAAATATATAGAAAAGGGTACACTTCACCGATTTTTTTCATTTTGAAATATGTTATAAAGGATGAAATTCCGAGTGACTTTTCCTAATACAATTATATGGGGGTCGCTTATAGTTTCTGAGATATTTGACATTAAAGTTTTATAATTATACGTTGAAGTATATTTGAAGTAGACAAGCAGTTTTCATTCACTTTAAATATAGCAAACAGTACATATAAGCGGCTTTGCCTCCCTCCCGCACCCCCTCCCCAAACAAATCTTAACTTAACCTAACTTATTGCATCTTTATATATTTTTGGACATTGTTGAAAAAAGTTCTCTTAAGATCTATCACCTGGCTCAACTTAACTTATTATAATATCCGCATATAATTAGGTGTTGTGGATTTTAAGGAGATCTTTTCAACATCGCCCAACAATATATAAAGATGCAATAAGTTAGGTTAGGTTAGGATTTTTATGGAGGGGGGGTGCGGGGGATTGGCGGAGCCCCTCTCCCGCGCTACCCCGCTTATATGTATTGTTTTCTATATTTCCATGTATGTACTATGTTTGGATTAACTGTTTGCATTGTACTGTAAATAACGACAGCTTATGATATCTGGAATTTAATTCCAGGATAATTAAAATTCCAAAACTTTAAAATCGAATATCTCGGAAACGATAAGCGACCCCCATATAGTTGTATCAGGAAGTCACCCAGAATTTCATCCTTCATAACATATTTCAAAATGAAAAAAATCGGTGAGATGTACCCTGTTCTATTTACCAAAGTACGATTCATTAATTAGCGATGAGTCGTTTAAATGAATCCGCATATGAGCGATTTTCATGAATCCGCGTATATTCGTATTTACCCTAATATATATATATATATATATGTATATATATTTACATATATGTACATATTGCAACGGCGGTATATCAAATTTCAAACCGCGTCTGCAATCCCACGCAATCCGATGATGCTGTCGGCGATAATTACAGCGACGCCCCCGTCGCTCCGCGGCTGCCGTGCAATTTCACACCGGCCGTTTTAAGAAAATGCGATTCTCGCGCTTGATTTCGAGGCGATCGGCCGCATTTGCGAGTTATTGCGCCTGTGCGAAGGCAATCGGACGGATAATGGGATCCGCAGCACTTTTACTCCCTTCGTCTCTCGGAGTAATTAAGGATAATCGATAACAATTTCCCGCGCTGTGTTCCACACCCGCCGGGCGACCCGCGCGTCATACGTACGTACATACGAATCTAGCCGCGCGATGACGACGATGATGATGATGATGACATCGATGATCTGGCCGAGAGACACGCGGCTTATCACGTCCGTACACTCGGATACCGCCTGTATAGCGCGCGCGCGGGGCACAGGCGCTCTGGCATGCCGGCAACATGCGTGTTCTAATCTGAATTAATCCGAACTAGTGCGCCTTTGTACACGAACGCACGAAGGATATTCACGCATAAATTGCGGCGGCTGCGGCGACGTGTTACGTGTACACGCGCGGCTATCCCATTCAATCCCGCGCTTGCTCAATTCCGAAGCGTCGATTGTACGCGCGCGCGCGAATGTACGGCTTTCAATTATCATCCGAAGAAGGATAACAAACGCGCGAGCAGCAGGGTAAGTCTGAATAAAAAGTCACGGGAACTCGCGTCTCTCCGTGAGGCGATCTTTCACTCGGCGACTCGGCGGCGCGGCGTCCCGCGAACAGGACGCTCTCGCTTCTCTAACGAGTGCCGACATCGGCATCGAGAGCTCGTGTTAATCGCGTTCGATGACGCGGAAAATTGATCGACCGCCCCGATACATAACGAACGACACGACGCCGTTGTTAAATGCTGCAAGTCTTGACAGTCGATCGTTGACACGTCCGTGAAACTTGGCGGTCGGACGCGGACTTAATGAACCGGAAGTAGTAATTTAATCGATGGTGAATTTAGCCGGAGCATTTAGCGAACAATCGACGTGAGAGCGAGAGAGAGAGAGCGAGAGAGCGAGAGAGCGAGAGAGAGAGAGAGAGAGAGAGAGAGAGAGAGAGAGAGAGAGAGAGAGAGAGAGAGAACGAGCGACGAAGTAATTAAGATGCGCATTTCCACACGGAGGTGGGACGCTCGAACGTGATGAGGATACGTAAGCATCCATTCTGAGGTAAGCTGCCACGTTTCACAGAGGGAGTGAAAGAGACAGAGCGAGAGAGAGAGAGAGAGAGAGAGAGAGAGAGAGAATGTAAGTCGAACGAGCTTATACGTAATTACATCCTATTCGTCCAATCAGCTTCGGCGCGTGGCGGAAACTTAGCAGTCTCCCCTGCCCCCCCTTTTCTCTCTCTCTCCCTCTCTGTCTTCCCCGAGGACGACTATATGAAATCGATTTCAGGTGCATAAGTCATATTCGACTAACACGCCTCGTATTCCTGAAGTTTGTGATTGATGCTATTGCCGAGCCAAGGATGCTAAATGGAGTATGTCCGCTTTTCGGGGATAACGGATATATCCGTGGAAAGTGCTCTCCGCCAACTTCCGCGAGTTTATACAAACTGACACCAGGGCGAAGTTCGGCGAGCCGGAACCCCGAGAGGTACACAATATATACGCGAAACGGCACGCGCACGTGGCTACATCCGTCGGTGACTTACTTGTTGTTTTTGCAGGGCGGCCACATCGCCGCACACGGGTCCCAGGCCGGTGAGCTCTGTGTCCTTCCTAATCACCCATTCGATGAGTTCACGCAACGACAGCAGCAGAGCGTTCCAGTGCTCGGTGTTGCTCTCCAAGCGATTCCTGCGCAGAAAGAACACACGCGCCGTCTCAGTGACTAGGGAATGACGTACGCGCGCATGGACACGCCGTTGGCTCGCGCATGTAAACGCGTTTATTCCCGCGCACGCCGTGCAAACACCGGAAGAGGAAGCTTTTATCTTCCGGGCACCGCGGAGCTTCGTAAGTGTCATCTTACGTGTTTACCTGAGGCGGAGGAGGAACGCTACCGTCTCTCTCGACACTCGCGCTGATGGACACTCGCGGCGTGATGCGACATGCGTACACGACGCTCGTAACAGCGACGGAGGGCGAGGAGGAGAGAGGCGGAGGAGACGCGCGCAAAACGGCATGTCATAAATGTGAGTAAAGAGAGTGCACATTTGTTGGGGACGGACGGGTAGTAGTCGTTGTGTGTGTGTGTGTGTGTGTGAGAGAGAGAGAGAGGAGAGAGGAGAGGAGAGGAGGAGAGAGAGGTGAGGAGAGAGAGAGAGAGAGAGAGAGAGAGAGAGAGAGAGAGAGAGAGAGAGAGAGAGAGAGAGAGAGAGAGAGAGCATGAGGAAAAGAGATCGGCAAGGCAGAGCGATGCAAAGTGGATGCTGTAAAAGGAGGGAGAAGGGAGGAGGAGAGGGAGAAGGGGAAATGCAAGAGCTCGACGTCGCTGGTGTCAAGAGTAACACCGGAGAATGAGCAAAGAGAGAAAAGTGACGACGCGCAGGGAGGGACACCGACGAAAAAAAGGAGGAGGGGAGTGGAATTGATAGATACTTAAGATAAGTGGATCAAGAAGTGGACGATTGAAGAAAGAGAGAAAGAGAGGGGAGGCAGGGAGCGAGCGGTAAAAGCGCGAGAAAGGCGACGACGTGTCTGCGGCGGAGGCGGCGGCGACGATGAGCGAGGCGTAAATCGAAAAACAGAAATCTCTCGAAAAGCGCGGGAGCAGAGATGGAGTGTGCTTGCGGATAAGACGCGGTTCGAGCGAAGCGGGTAAATACGGCGAGCAAAAGAGAGTCCCGAGAAAATTAAAACGGACGAGTATTCTCTGAGCGACGCGACGAGTAAACCGTGCGCGAGACCGGGAGGAAGGGACCGTGGTGGCAGAGCCGATCGCGGGAAAGAAAGAAAACGATTTCAGGCAAATTGGAAAAATACGGGGGAAAAAGCGACGCGAAAACGGGCGACGGGAAGCGCGCCCGGTGTACAAACTCCCCGGCTGCGAAACGAGACGAGTAGGAAAATAAGACAGAGGCAAGACGGTCGCGGCTCGGGCGAGGAAAACAAAAGACAGGTACTCCGAGAAACGACGAGATCAAGGGCACGGATGAATAGAGAAAGGGGGAGGGAGAGAGAGAGAGAGAGAGAGAGAGAGAGAGCGCGCGATCGTTGATAAACGCGGGAAAAGATAAGGGACGCTTCGTTGGGTAGCGAAGACAACGGAAAAAGCAGATTGGACAGGTGACTCCAGATGAAAAGAACGTGAAAGAAAATCCGATCGCGCGAAACTCAACTCAACGGGAAGAGCGGGCACGGAGACAAGATAAGAGGTGGAATATGCAAATGGGGAAATTTGCAGCAATCGTGCGCGCGAGAGAGCCTCGAGCAGGAAGTCGCGCTCGAACAAGAAGAAGCGGCGAGGCGAGCGAGTCAGCAAAAATGGATGAAGGATAAATATTGAAGAGAAGTGATAAGGTAGAGAGAGAGAGAGAGAGAGAGAGAGAGAGAGGAAAGAGCGCGAGCCGCGTGTTTTGCTAATAGTAAGTAAATACCGCTGGACCCGGAAGCGCCGGAAGCGTGAAATAAAATGAAAGACCGGTGGGAAATCAGTGGAAGATGCGAGGGCGCGTGAGAAGAGAGGGGCTGAATGCAGAGGAGAGATGGCCCCAAGAAGAATGAGGACTCGTCACACGTACCGTTGGGAGGATAAGGCACGGCGAAGTAGCTCGCGCGAGACTGGGCGCGAGCTGCAAGGAGGAGAAGACGGATACGCGAGATAAGTCAGGAGAGAGAAATTAGTACGAGAGGAAGATGATCTCGTATTTATTCGAGACGATAGTCCCGCCGGTCCACGCACGTGCGGATCACGTTTAACGGTGCAATACCACGTGACGGCGCAAGGACGAAAACTCCTTTTCCAGTTCGGGCGGACTGGGACGTCTAACTACGACGGGAATACGTCGACGCATTACTCTAGCGTTATCATGGCGAGATTTGAGAGATGAGCAGCTCATTTCCCCCTTGGATTGGCTTCATTAAGCGCTTCGATCTTTCGTGCGTGGAGCAATCCGCGCGCGCGTGTGTGCGTCGGACGGCAAAATCGAGCCTCTTGTAAATGCTACACAAGTTGCAATTTCCTGCTTCTCGAGAAAAACATGCGGGCATATGTAGGAATACTCAATGCAGAATCTAGCCGCTCTGCGCAACGCCATCATTTCTCACGGCTCTGTGAGAAGCGAAATTTTGAAATTACACGCCACGTCGAGAGATACGTTTGAGATTCCCCGCAAGATTCTCGGGTTACCCTATATTTGAAGCAAGTGCCAAATACGAAATAATCGTAAAAAAAAAGAAAAAGGAAAAAAGGGGAGAGGGAGAGAGAGAGAGAGAGAGAGAAGGAGCACAATGTATCCGCTTTTATTTGACCTCATGTTTAATGCCCGTTCATTATCTCGTCGGTTCACGACTCGTACGCGAATAAAATCCAAAGTGGTCGACGAATAAAGAAGCTCGGCGTAGGGCGAATTAAAGCGGAAGACAGAGGCTCGGGACGAGAGCGGCATAAAGAGCGGTAGGAAGCGCGAAGGAGGCCAGGAGCTGAATGGCGCTGAGAGAGATCCTCGAGAACGAGGATAAAGACCGCGCGCGCGTCGGCCACAACGAAGGCCAACGAGCAGGAGGAACAGTACGAGGAGGAGGAGGAGGAGGAGGAGGAAAAGGAACAGGACGAGAACGGCGGCGTTGTCGTCGGTCGGAGGCTCGCGGAATAGACGAAAGCGGAAGATAAAGGCGCTACGTACGGGCGAAAGGAGAGCAGGAAGGATGGCGGTCGGGATTTAGATTTATATTTCGCCATTGTTGCACTGCCGCCGCGTCGCGCGGCGGCACCCACTTACTAGGTCGCATCCAACAATCCCCCGCCGTCTCCGTTCCCCTCGCGGTTCGCGCGACCCTCGCGCTAGAGAGGGCTCGTGTCGTCGTTCTCGTATCGCAAAGAAACAGCCCCGCGCTCGGATATATTGCGGTTATTGTAACGTCGATGAGAGAGCTCCGCGGAATTCCGCCGCGGCAGCCGCGCACTTTTGTGATTCGAGAGCGTACGCGAGCTCAAGCGAGCGCGCGCGCACACACACATATACGAGCGCATGGAGAGTCGCAGCCTTGCCCCCCCGTCGAGTGATATTGCACTCTCCTCCTCCCAGGGAGATAAGGACGTAAGGATATTTCGCGCGACTGATGGCGGCGCCGGTTGACGGGTAACCGAAAGAAATTGTCCTCGTTGCCCCGACGAATCGCGAGTATAAACCTCTTCTCGACCTGAGTGGCCATCACACGGACTGATGCCGGCGCGATAAGTTTATTCAGAGCGGTGCGGAAGAAGAAACTATAATAATCTTCGAACAGAGGTCGTGTCGCTTCGCGACACATGCGCGGGAGATCTCGCACGAATTGTGTCGTATTTAACGGAGATGTAATAATCATAATAAATAAATATATAGATATATAGAAATAAATATATAGATATGGATGTGAGATAGGTAAAATATGTGAAAGTGGAGGAAATTGAATTTTCTGGTTTTAGAAGATAAATATGGTGGAATCGTAATCATCTCCGCTCCCTTCGAGCAATACGCGTTTCGTACGGATGTGAACTTAGCAAGCAACTTGATAAAAAAAGAAAATTCGCAATACGGTTCGATTGTACTTCGTTTGTACCTGTTTGTATCACTTTTTGTTTTGTTTGTATCTCGAAGGATAAAAAGATAGGGAGAGGGGGAGAAATACTCAGTAAGCAAGCATAAGATATCGCAAAACGGCCAACGCCATTCGAAAGAGAATCGTTTGTATCTCAACGATTTGAAGGGAGGTACAAACGGGTACAAACGGATCCGGATGGCTGTTTTCGGATATCTTATACTTGCTTGCTGGCTATTTTTCCCCCTCCCTCTATCTTTTTATTCTTTGAGGTACAAACGAAACAAACAGTGGTACAAACAGGTACAAACGAAGTACAATCGAACCGTAATGACAATTTCTTGTTTTGATCAAGTTGTTTGCCAGATTCACATCGCGATCGGTGCGTTTCGTTCGTTCATAGTCACGTTGATACAAGCTACTTTAATTTTAATCATTCGCGGACTCTCCCGTGTTATATTTTGTCAACGATATTTTCCGCAGAAAGCAGATTTCATTTTTTACCTTATCGCGTACCGCGGTCGCGAAGATTCATCACGTCGCTCGGATATTATTAATTTTAATTAATCATAGCTCATATATATATATATATATATATATATGGACACATATTCGCAATTTATCGTAGCGTAATTAATAAAAAAGAAAAAAAGAAGGAAAAAGAAAAAAGGAAAAGAAGAAACGAGGTCGGTGTGATTAATAGGACGCCCGTCGGACCCACGTCAGTAATGGAATCTTACGGTCGCGAAAGGGAATTCGGCGAACATCTATTTTCGCTCGTCGTCCGGCTGCCAGAAACAGGGGAGCCTCTACTAGCGGAAAGATATACTTCTCGTTCGTGCGATCGCATTTCAATTGAATGTTCAGTAAGTGGTGCTACAGTGTCGCCTCGGCGAACCTTGCCCTACGAGCGATCTTTACGGCTTGCCAGGCTGATCTAAAATAAATCACCGTAGAATTTCTTGGCCGGCTATAAAAATCTGCCGAAGGAGCGTTACGTTCTTCGCACCCACTCGATAAAATTCGCGACGCAGTCTCGAGTAAATAAATCATGAGCGACACATTTCGGCGCCGCGACTTTATTCAGAGAGAGTTGCTCGCGAGACGGCGATACG